TTTAATAAATTGTATTAAAAAACAAAATGGTTTCTTAAATGATGGTGATTCTAATATATCTATTAAAGTTTTTTAAAAAATGAAGTCTAAATTTATGGCTAAAATTGTTCGTGATCCACAGTCATATGAAAATATACTAAAAGAAGGTTTCCTGTATGTTAATTGGGCAAGATGTCGTGTCTTTGATTATGTAGTTGTTTATAGATGTTTTAATTGTGGTGGCTTTGGACATCATAGAGATAAATGTGATAGTGTGCAAAAATGCCTAAAGTGTTGTGATCCAGATCATCTCACCGATGAATGTGCAAGTTCCGTGTCTAAACGTAACAATTGTATAGAAGCAAATTCAGATATGAAAAATAACTTTAATGTTTACCATAGTATTTTCGATTATATTTGTTCTATCCTTCAGACGAAAATTAATTATTCAATTACAAAGTAACAATTAAAGATAAAATATTTCTCAGCTTAGAGTTTTTCATTAAAATGCTCAATGATTAAGGAATAACTTTGATTTTCTGAACACTGATTGAAAGATTCCGAATTGCAGATGGTAGAAATTATGATATTTGTACATCATTCTGTAGAACCAATATAAAAAATGGAGGTGTACTAATTATGTATAAATCCAGCATAAGGATTAAAAAAATTTCTATTATAATGGAAATATCAGTTCCGTTACAGTGTGAGGTTAGGTTAGGGTAGGATATATGTATTGTTATGTGAGCCATTTCATTATTCAGTCATGCTCTAACCCTACAAGTTCCTCTCTGTCTTATTTGGCCTTTAAGGCTCAACTTGTCCGATTATTATACATAATTAAACCCCTTAAGACCAAACCTATGGGACGACAATGGCGGAGATGATTTCGATGATGTTCGAGAAAGGACGAGATAATATTTCTGGACTCTTCGAAATATTTCTAGTTTGGTGGAGAAGCTTCTCGACTCCACCAAATTTTAGAAATTTGTATATAAATATTGGTGGGGTCAGTATTATATGAACAGTGAAGATAAATAGTAATCAGTGATATATAGACAGCTAACAATAAAGTATTGGACTGTGAATATAAATAGTGAACGATTCAAAGACATTAGAAATATATATAAATTAGAAATAGTTGTGTTATAAAATAAATAAGTGTTTAAATAAATTAGTAATAAATAAACGGTTGTTTTAAAGTAAACAAACATCACAGTATGTATAGTTCAACAGATGGCAATATTGATATTTTCTTAGAGTCTTCGATCGCGTTTTAGATATATTTAATTCCAATTGTTATGTAATTTTACTTGAAAACTTTGTCGATTAGTCATGGACCGGTTGATTCTGCTATACGGAACATAGGTATAAATGAAATAAATAATTCAATTCAAGATCGAAGAGGAAAAAAATCCCGAGGAATATAGAATCATTTCCTGTAATGGAATCACACTATTGCAGACGTGGGACAAAACGGAAGTATCTTGACCCTACCCTATCCATTTTCAAAATGTATGAATTATACAAAGATTTACAGATCAGCAATCAGAAGATTTTGTTCCTCCAATAACGTATAGGAGAGTTTTTTGTACACAGTATAACTTATCATTCTTCAAACCAAAGAAAGATCAATGTGTCCTATGTGTTAAAAAAGCTAAATCTATTGAGAAATCAGAAGAATTTCGTTCTCACATAAAGCGAAAAGATGATGCTAATAGAACAAAAGATTCAGATAAACAAAGAGCAATTCATGACGAAACTTTTGTGTCAGCACGTTTTGATTTACAGAGTGTCCTGCAAATTCCATGCTCCGAGGTATCACCTCTTTACTATAGTCGAAAACTATGTGCATACAATTTAGCAATTTATGAAGCTGCTCCACCAAATAAAGGATATTGTTATCTTTGGTCTGAAGTAGATGGCCAACGAGGAAGTTGTGAAATAGGTACAGCTTTATTGAAATGGTTTAAAACTTTACCTGATAGTGTCAAAGAAGTGTCATTCTTTAGCGACACATGTGGAGGACAGAACCGAAACAAATACATTGCGGCTCTTTTCTTGTTTATAGTCAACCAGTTACCAATAGAGATTATTACTCATAACTTTTTAAAAAAAGGCCATTCGCACATAGAGGCTGATTCGATGCATAGTGCCACTGAAAGAACAAAAAAAACGTTCCTATATTTTGGCTTAATGATTGGAAGACAATTATGACACTAGCAAGATCCAAGAGAGGTAAAAATAAAACTTTTGGTGCCTACATTCTACAGCAAATGACATACCGCGACATTATTGTCTATATCGACCAAGATAAAAAATTATTTAATTAAACTTTGCCACATGGAGGTAATTCCGGTCTAATACTATGGCTGGTACTTTAACATAACAAGTACAATTCCTTAACAGACAGGTGTCCAGAACCATCAGACAATGAGTAATACTGACGAAGACATATGAAGTTGAAACTAGTTACTAATCTACTATTTGTTTAAGTATAGCTTTTTTTTAAATATTCTAGAAACTGCACTGTTTATAAAAACCATTCTAAACTTATAAAGTTGAAATTAATTTCTAGTTTATTATTTGTTTAAGTTAAGTATGGTCTTTTTTATTTTGAAATAAAAATTCTAAAAACTACATTGTTTATAAAAATTATTTTAAACTAACCTGACTCAAAACAATTGATTTATAAATCAGAAGCAAATATTAAAATACCAATAACTCAGAACTACTATATGTGGACTTGGTCACTTTCTCCCGTATACCGACAAAATTGACGTGTTTTTCATAATATTTTTTTTGTTTTTAATCAAAAGTTATTTGGAGTAGCGGTAGCGGTGGGTTTTCAACACTCTCTTTTTAAATATTTTAGGTTGCTCTCCTCTCCCCCTTGTAACCCATGAAAATTCCTATCTCCCGATTGATCCTCTTCACGTGACAGTTTTCCTTTAAATTTTTACTTTCCTCTAAACCAGTAAGAAAAGTATAGGATTCATGATTTTTTTGACCTCGAGTTTTATACGAATCTTTAAGTTTTGACCATTTTGGCGATAATGTCTGTCTGTCACCAAATTTTAAACTTTAGACCATCCTACAATGAGCTTATATTTTGGACTTAGTCCGAAAACTCGGACCACATAGTGGGGTTTTTCTAGTCATTGCCTCAAAATGTAAAAATTCATGTTCAACAAACTATGCAACTGTTGTAAATAAGATGCTGATCAGATGGCAGGGCGTATTTCTTTTTCATTATTTTTAAGCTATTGCATAGCTTTTATCGCAGACTTTGAGCGCGGCGACCGAATCAAGAAATTCCGTAACAACCGTAACGAAAATAAACCTTACACTCCCCACGCCGACCGGCACAGCGGTGCGGCGTTGAAAGCCGTGCATCGTCTAATGTCGTTTGAGTTCGGCAGACTTCGGCACGGTGTTTGTGTGCGTGCGACTAGATTTATGCGTGTAGACTAGCTGCTAACTGCTCATATATCTTTTAGACACAATTTCGGAAAAATTGAATTTGAAAATGAATAATGATTCACAAGAATCCACAACAAAATATGGGACCACCATTGACGCGGTATTTTCCAGATATTTAGAGGATATCAAGTCTTAAATTTGTTTCTTATTTCAGTTACCATAAACCTATAGTTTCAATGATAAAAATTTCTGAATAACGTACATGTATTGTAAGATAATAAAAATATTTTAAACAATATTACTTCTCATTTATTCAAAAAAAAAAAAAAAATGTTTTCTTATCAGTCGCCACGCTCAAAAAGTGTAACTTGAATTAATATCAAAGAAAAAATTTGAATTAATATCAAAGAAAAAAAAAATACTGCATAAATAAAATAAATAAATATAATTGCACAAGTTGATGAAAAATGCTATGCAATAGCTTTACCGCGGCAGTCCCTGAGTGCCACACGTATTTTTTATTTAATTCTTCTTGTCCCTCCCTCCCCCTCCCGAATTTCTCCACGCTACACCGGTTGAGAATCGCTGATGTAAAGTTTTAAGTTTCAGAACAGAAGCATTAAGATCTTACGGTTTCTTCGTTTCATCGTCATTGTACAAAATTGCAGCCCACAAAATGTATATTGTTCCTTTGTGCGTTATAAAATTGAGTACGCCAGTAAAATGTGGCCGTTCTTTTTTATGATGCTGATTCGAATTATAAATGAACTTAACAAAGGATAAAAGTTATTTTAGTGTCTTATATTTATTACACCTAAATTCTAATATTCTAATAGAATTATAATTAATTATTAAGAGTCTATTTATACTCCCTTATTATTAGTATTTGCATTAGTATTATGATTACGGATTAAGTTGAACCTTTACAATTTAATGGGGACATTTATACTCGATTTATGATTAGTATTAGCATTCATATTTATGCTTAATAATTGACAGGTTCAATTTTTATGTTATATCTTAAATTTCTTCTTTTATCTCAAATGAATCAATAACCTTTGTTTTTAATAGACAACGGATAATGATAATTGACAATACACATGAAGAGCCTAAAGCAAAAACGATTAAGGTCATTAAAAGTTAATTCTCTGTAAATTGAGTTTTAAGTTTCGGAAGTCAAATAGGTACACTTAGAGCAGAAATCTGAAGAAAAATAAGTTAGTAGACATTTTGTGCAACAGTTATTGGACAATATTATGTAAATAAAGCCATCACTATAAGTCTTTCAATTTTAAATTTAAACAAAAAAATAATTCCAAAATAAAAAAAATACAACACAAAAACGTTGGTTGTCATAAAAAAAAAAAACATTAAAATCGATCATAGTCAACTAAACAATATTCTATGCTTTATTAAAATGCTTTTTTAAAATATACTAAAGAACCTAACCTAACCTATACAATACTTTTATTTCTGTTTTCCCTTTTTTACTACTGCTTTTCTACGATTTTCAACAGTTTTATTTTTTCTTTTACTTGTTCTTCTTCCTCTTCTTTCTCAGAGTCTGTTTCTATCACATTATGCAACTCATTTTCTTTTTATTCACTTTTCTTGTTAATTTGTGAGGTAGATTGCTTTAAGTTTTCCCATTTGTCCAAACTCATTGGTATGGGTTCTGAAAAATGAAACCATAATGATACAAAAAATCTTAAGACTTAATCTAGTTAATCTGTTTGGTTGACAGAAGCAGTACGAATTATTGAAGTTTCTATGGCCCCATTATAGTTTGAACGATATGAAAGATATCTGGGATGTATAGATTCTACTTGAATTTCCCGAATTGCAAATGGACATTTTACTACATAATATTGGGCTAAATATTTATTCCATTGACGAAAGAAGCTCTAGTCGAGATCAAAAACTTTAAATGGCGTTGGCTTAGCTCTTGCTCCTCTAATTTCATTATTCTAATCAGCAGTAGTCTCAGCTTTAGTATTCTGGTTTATGAGGTCCATATTCTTATCGCCCTCAAGATAAGAATGTCCCCTTATAGGAAAGGTAATTTTTATCCTGTCAAGTCTTCTAGTAGTTACAACAACGTAATCTAAAAATATTATAATTTTTGTTTTGCCCCCCCCCCCCTGAATCGCAAAATATTTCGAGCTCTCTTACTCTTTTATCTAATTGAGCAAATATAAAGTGGTGAAGCATAGACATCACTTCTTCTGATCCTTCAGCAGCAACATTTTCTGAGTAGCAATAGAAGTACGCATCTAATGTAGTAAGAACATGGATAGTAAATGAATAAAATGAAATCTGACTTATATAATATACATCATTAGTGAAAATATTCGCTAGTGGAAATTTTTTTTTAGAAATCCATAGCACTGCTTTCATACTCTGTAACTTTCATGCTTCTTTTTCTTGCTGCTTTAATCAGCTTTCTTTAGGTGTAACTCATTCTGAATTTCCAAATCTGTTAATTGTTGCATTAGTTCTTGTTTGCCTTCTGTGATTGGGGTATTTTCAACTTTCCTTTGTAAGCCCAATTTCTCTGCGTTAAATTTATCACAAGAACTGCATGTGTCGCTTCGAGGGTATCCGAATTTAATATTGAAATTATTATTAAATATTTTGCGATAATATTCATACGAGACAGATCCAAGATTTAAATATGTGTACATTTTGTAGATCTTTTTTAAATTAAGGCTCTCCGGTAGATAAACCGCAGTAGTCTTTTTACGGCTTTAATGACTTTGTCTCCCTTTAAAAGAACTTATGTAATTTTAACAGCCTCCAAAGTAGCAGGAGGTTTAATAGAATCATTTGTAACCGCCTTCCAGAAATTCCATGCAACGAAAGACATGCCTTTCGACAGACCGAAACCTCAATAATATTATTTTCTCTCATAGTTCTTATTTTATCTTGACTTGGGCGACGTGTTTTAATTGGTAACACACTTATTAAACCTGCTAAATACGAACTTTGTTCGTCTTTAGAAGAAATTTCATTAAATTCTTTAATAATTTGTTTACGTTCAAAAAAATCTAATTTTTCAAAACATTTATACCTTGTGCATCTACAGTCTTCGCACTGCTCGTGGGAACACAGTCTCAATTTCATAATGCCTACTTCTCGTCCAAAAGATTGTCTTTTCTTAGATGCTATATTTAACTTTTCAATTGTATCCGAGTCACTACTACTATTTTCTTCATTATTTAGTCCTTGTGTATTCATTTTAACAGCAAAAACTACACAATTCAACACGGTATGTTGCTCTGTTGTTTGACTTTATAAAACACTAGAATGTTAACAATAACAAAAATTATTTGCGCTATTGCACAAGTAACACGCACCTCGCACACATTGACTTTAACCATTTTTGCTGTGTTTACTTGTGACACTCATCGTTTTTGCTGTGTAGACCATTTTTTGTTTGTGAAATAACTCCCTGACTAGGCATGTTATTGCTATGTAAACCAGTTCAGCATATATTACAGATTCTCGGCTATTTTATCGTGTATTTAACTCATTTTCAGAAAAAAGGTGACTTTCATCGTTTTTGTTGTGTGCTCTTTATATTATATGATTATGTTGTCAAATTTTTATAGGTTTGTTCCAACAAGCTCGAAAACGGTACAAATCGGTACAAATCCTGCGCTTTATACAATGTTTATGTATCAGCAGTATTTACCAAGTATAAAGTTGACAAATGACATGTCACCACGAGGAAGCAAAGGCCCCTTTTTTGTCTGATTTGTATCAAATTTCTATTTCTTTTTATCTGTTATAAATTTGAGACGTAAATCCGTTAAAATGTCATTAATTAAACCTGTATTTAATAATAATATTTTTAAATAAAATCAACTAATAAAAATATTAATAAAAACACGTTTAAAACTCAAATATTTTAAAAAATATTCTAAGAATACAACTGGCCTCTTACACAATTCTTCAGTAACCAACATTTTGATGACTGCAGAATTATATCTTATTAGGAAAAAGATTATTAAAAAAGAAGCACTAATACTAAATATAAAACGAGTATAAATAGCCTTTTTGAATATTTTGTCCAGTTTAATGCTTAATCATAATACTAATACAAATTTAATACAACTAATAAGGGAGTATAAATAGACCCTAATTCTAATAACTAGATTATAAAATTAGAATTATTGTTCTAATATTTAAAATAACTCTTTGAATATTAAAACCAGATAAATTATAATCGCAAATTATTCCCATATGGTTTTAAAATTAAATAAAATAGGTATACAAACATTTAATAAAATTTAAAAATAGACGTAAAAGTCACATTATAACCTAAAAAAATGAATTTTCAGATTCGGGATTAAAAGTTCTTTTTAAAAATACGCAATGGCAGAATACTGAAAGAATATAGCAAGGTCAGAAGTTGAAAAGGCTTTTGGTAGGTAGAGAGGGGGTAAACGTCAAACCACGTCGGACGGCTTCGAGAATTTCGCAGTAATGTTTACCTGCCAGTGTCGTTTCATAGAATAAGTAATTTTAAATTGTTACCGGCGGAACCGGCAATCGTACATATTTATGGACTATAATAGTTATTTATGCAACAAGTACAAAAAAAGTTTATTGCACGCGATGTGAAATTGTCCAACGAGGCTGTCAGGCCGAGTTGGACAACACGTCGAGTGCAATAAACACTTTTTGCACGAGTTGCATACAATATTTTTTCTACGTTCATGCAAAAACCAAAAAATGTTTTATAGAACTGCAGTTGTATTATCCAAATCGTGTACCTTTGTTTGAGGTATTTATTTACGTTTGTAATGACATTTTTAATAAAATAATACATTTTTTTATTAATTTATTTATTAAATGATTGAAAATAATATAAAATATGCAATAGTTTTTAAAACGTAACACAGAAAATGAAAATGGACTAAATATTTGGCGTTGATTTGAATATTTATGTTTGACATGATCATAAAATGCTGTAGTAAAATGACAGATGAGTGCAATAAAATTTTTATTGCGCTAGTGCAATAAAGAACCAGATTTTTCACTAAATATAGTTCAATAAAGTTTTGTTTTTTGCATGAACGTAGAAAAATAATTTTTAAACATGTATTATAATATCCAAATCATGATTTTACAAAATTTCAACAGCTGTTCACAATTGATTAAACTTTTTACTCGAAATTGTTATTAACATTTATAAAATAATTTTGTACGCCAATGTATCGCGTCCACTTCGGTTAGGTCCGCCGCAAACCTGTCAGTTTATGTATATAGAGTGGGAGAACTGGCAAAAGCCATTCCAACTTCTGTTATATTAAATACAAATCAGTCGAATGCAATGTATTTTCTTTTTATAACATACCTTTTTAGCTTGATTACTTCTAGTACTCTATTTATTCCAATGTCCTCAAATAAAACGAGCAATAATACGTAACAATAAGGATAAAACACACATTGAAGTGTATTTGTGGTATTTTTAATCTAAATCCACTATCAAAATAAGAAATTTTCCGTTTTTAAGTTGTGAATGTAATACACAAACTACTTCGATAAAATGTAAACAAAAGTTTGTATTTGTGTACGAAATATGGGTTGCCTGCGCATGGTAGCGAGTTTTTAACTGTATTGATGACAAGTAATATCCCGAAAACGTCAGCGCAGTAAAAGCTGCGCGTCTTTTTCCCGCCTAGGGAGTGTCATTACTGCTCTACCTCAGAGAGCTCTCGTTAATTGATGAATTTTGATATAGAAACATAGACCCTTAAAAGACTTAGTTACCGAGATACAGGCTGGTAAAACTTTGAAATCAAAATTTAAAATTTGCCATAAATTAAAAATGCCTTTAAATATTAATATAAAATTTGGTGCCCAATATGTTCTTTAAGAAAGTAATATTTGGACATAAACTTACTTTTAAATTTTTTTACCAGTGGCGTGCTATCAAGGTTATTGGTAATTTTCCTCCTATTTTTTGCGCCACTGGTATAAATAATATTTTTTAATATATTTTTTTTTTAATTCTCTGTTTATATTTAGTGAATAAAATGTGAACTTTTTATGGAGCAAAAATTTGCTTCTAAATAAAAATCTACATGTTCAATAGCTTTGTTTTGGTTCCGAAATTAGAATGGTTCAAGAATTTTATTAGAACTGACAAAAATAATAGAACCAAAACACTTCTAATTTTCTTCTTTTTCGCATTTTTCCTTACTACAACCTTTTATTATTGAGGAAAATTAGCCAACAATTATTGTCAATTCTGTGAACTGCATAAATCTATTACTTTTTAGATTTAAATGTTACGTTATTACGTTTTTCTAAAATTTATTACTATTCATTCAAGCAAAATGTCTGAGAAAATTCCCTTATGCACAGTTAATTTTGTACATTTCAAGCAAGCACAGTTTAAAAATAATAAGAAGATGGCCAAATTTGAGAGGTTGGATTCCCTTCTTAGTTTAAAAATAATACTATCCTTAAACATTTTGAATTATGTCTGGAATAAACTACTGACAGATTTTTTTTTTTGTAACGTTTAAAAAAGTATATTTTAATATGGACGCACGCGCCTAATTTTAAAAGAATACTAGCTTAAAATTACATTTATTGACCTTTTACTCAAAATCTATTACCTTTTACTGAAATATATTACGTTTTAGAGCGCCTCTCTATTATGATTCTTTTGCCCAAAAACAACACTGTTCATATGCATTCTTATCGATTCTTATGCAACGCTTTTACTTATATCTGTTGTTCCATTTTTATTACTTTTACTTATATTTTTTGTTTTTTGTTTCCCATTTTTTATAAACTAGCATATATGTTTTTTCTTTTCAACGTTAATCTATACCGCGTTCTCTACATAATGCCATTTTTCTCGTTTGAATCGGAGCAATAGCAATAAAGATACACGCTAAGGCCCTTCTGACTTTTCGTTCTGCGCATGTTTTTTTCCTTCGATGTTAATCTATACCACGTTCTCTACATAATACCGTTTTTCCCGTTTGAATCGCACCAGTAATAACCGAGAAACACGCTCAGGTCCTTTTGGCAATCGAATATTTTTTCTGTTCAACGTTAAAAGAGATTTAATTTCCCCCACTCCCCGCTTCCCCTCACTCTGTCTCACTCTTACTTACTGAATTTGCACCTCTTACTCTTATACATTGAATTCCCTATGTATCCCCGTACGAACGTTGTCTATCTACTAATAATATAAAAAATTAATTATTTTCAAATTAGTCATCCAATCATTGATAATGATAATATGAATACATATACGTTTCTATTTAATTATAAAGAGGTTTATTTTAAGTCAATAAGATCTAATAAAACCTAAAACGTAAAAGGGCACCAATAAAACACAAATCTTAAATCACCAACCTCAACATCAACAGCTCAAAACCTATAAACGAAATGAAATAAATCAATTGCTACGTTTGAATATCCACATCTGATGCAGTTATTACATCTCGAGCGTTTGTTTATCCACATCGGACACATCTGTCCTACTACATTTACGTATATTGAATCACGTGATCAAAGATTAACAACATCTCAGATGCATCCAATGTGGATATTCAAACGCAGCAAATAATTGGTTGTCAGTTATTTCATAAGCTTTCACGGTGGGCTTGAATATAATTTAAATGCGAAGTTCTAGCACTACCGATTTTCTTTCGGCATTCGATTCCCGGAGTCATAAGAAGGCTGGAAAAAAAATTCCACCGTAAGCCTTAGAGCCGATTTTAAAAAAATCGACTTTTTTCAATGAATAATGCAAAGATACAAAAATAATAATAATAATAATAATATTAATAATAAATGCTTTTATTGGCCAAACTAAGTACCTAATACAAAGAAAGAAAAAAAAATATATAAATACAAATAGTTTGCCAAATGGCAGAGTTCAAAATCTCTGATAAAAATCAGAGTTTTGCTCTTCCACTCAACCAGTATTATGATAGACATACCTATACATCTTTCGATGTATAGATGTGCCCTGCATGTTCACTTAATAATTATTCAATCTAGCGCACAATATGGCTTTACGAATATGAGAGAGAAAAATATTGAAAACCCAAAACCGTAAACAACTTAACATCTTAACTTAAAAAATAAAAAAATAAAAATCAGCCAGATGAGTAAGAACCAGTAAGTATATCAATAATAACATTACAATAATACTAATATAATAAAAACGAATATAAAATTTAAATTTATCTAAAAACTATAAC